CCCTTATTCCCTACTAAGAACTCGTGAGTTACTTACTGCAGTTTTGTGACATGAGAGCATGCTCTGGTGTTTCATGACATGCAATCATTGGGATGCTTGGCCGCAATTCTTGAAAGGGAAGGAAGCAGGTCGCTTGTTGTTAATCCGCTTGGTTATAGCCCGGCCCGCCCCCCCTCCCCCGCCCCCATCATAGATGTTCCCTCCATTGCATGAAGACATGATCTGGACAATCAATCAGGGGGGTGGTAAGTAGACAAAACCTAAACCCAAAACCAAATGCAGGCTCAGAGTTTAGCCGGGATCGGAAGCAGCTTGGCAACTTTATTTGGGGATTCCCAAACATCCAGGTCCACTTCAGGGGTTCCTGTGAGGAGGGTTAGAGAAGTTTGGATTGTGTACGGGGCAGCTCTAAGTTTCGAAGCTGCCCATTTCAATGGGGGGAAAGATGGGGTGCGAAGATTCCATCGCTTTCCAGATGAGTCTTCCACAAGCTCTAGGTTCAGGATGTTGCCCGTTGCCCGGCCATTTCCTGTCCGCACGCCGGTCCCTGCCCTATTCCAACAATCTGTTGCAATTGCAGCCCTGGGTACTGTACAAGCTAGATATCTACCAATATTATTGTCCTAGATTCTAGGAACATAAGAGGACCCTAATATAATCCTTATTATCCCCTGTAGCCGCTATTACAGGGTGGGGGGTCCTCCTAAAGTAGAAGTATGGTCTAGGGCGCGGCCAACTCATAAGTTGTTGGTCGATATTGGCCGCTATTTGAGCCAATACAGTAGGGTTTGGACAGGTCTAGCAGGACCCCTGGTTGTGTGTAGTAAGGTTTCAAGTGGATAAGTGGATATCCAAAATGAAAGGCCAAACGGCAGGCTTTTGAAGTAATAAAGTCTCAGTAGGCATTATTCCTGGGATACCGCCCGGCTCAGTAGGAGTAGGATAATATCTATGGTATAGTCATGTCCTTTAGTATGACCACCCCCCCAAAAAATGTTAACTGTCACTGGGTGGGGGCAGTACCCCAGATGTCCCCCCTAAAAAATGAGCTGCGTTGTTGCAGCTCTCCGAGGCTACCAAGCGACTCGGAAGACACGCAGGCAGATGGCTGTGCTCAAGGGAATTCACCCTTTTGTTTTGTAGAGACCATAATAGTAAATAATTTTCAAAGGGCTTAAAGGACAACCCAGAAGAACCATGAAATGACCATGAATCATAAGTTTCGCCAGAGTTTCCCGGGGAACTTAGAGTCAAGGTTTGGGCATTTTGGGGATGGAGGTTTGGGGCTCCGGCTTGCTTGGCATTCTTTCTTCTGGACTTCGTAGGGATGCCAAGGCACTTAGGAATGATCCTGGGTATGTACTTCAAGGGGAGTTGGGACTTGGTGATAATGGAAAAGAAAATGGAAGCGACTAAATTATATGGGGTGAGGGTTTAGGGTTTAGGGTCATGGGGACTTAGTAAATAAGTTAATACCGGGGATAGCTAGGGTGCCTATATGGTTTATAGGGTTATTGACCTACTTACTTAGTCCCTCTGACCCTCCAAGTAGGCTTCTAGAGCGACTACGTGATGATGGGTCAATTTTCTCACTTTCGCTTCCAATGCTTGGTTCGGGGCTTGCAGGATATGGGGGGTGCCCAAAATTGGGGGTACCTTTTTGGGGGGGTGGTCCCCAGAATAAGGAATTTTAGTATTTAAGAGTCTATATTGGGATCCCCTATTTAGGGAAACTACCATATGAAGGATGACCTGGTCCACTGCTCAAGCGGTTTAGGGTTTAGGGTTTGCCCATTTGCCAGGGTGGGGATGCTTGAATCAATTGAAGGAAGTAGTGGTAGAAGCCGGAAGAGCTGGAGGGTAATGTCATAGTAGTACACTCCTCACTCCCCTCTTTCTCTACACTGTAGGCCTTACATCTAGTAAGGAGATTCAAGGAACCTAGAAACGAAAGAAAGGGAAGGAACGGAGATGGAAGATTCTATACAAGGAGCATATACTCCTTCTTGGAGGGTCAGGGGGATCCAGGAAGTACAGCTGAATTTGGGAAGTACCCCAGGTCGCAATGTTAATTGTCTCTCCATATCTGTCGGATAGATTAGAAAAGCACGGCCTGTCCGCGGACATTGTGCTCGAACACATCTTCAGGCTGTGCATGTCCACCAATCTATTGCGCTGTGGCGCTAAGCCCTCAACCCCCTAAATAGCAGTTTCCATTTCATATTCCATGGTCTTTGCCATTTGAGTTGCTTGTTATTTCGGGTCACAATTTATATAACCCTAAACCCTAAACGGCCAGAAGCCAGCATCCTCAACCCTCTGGTGCACAAGCGGCACTTCATCAGCAGTTTAGAAACCCGAAGACCACAGACGCAGCAGCAGTTTTTACCAGCCTCAAAGCTCCAGGTTTAGGATTTCGGCTTTAGGCCTATAACCCCAGACAACGGAGAATCACATGGAAATGAACCTGGAAATGAAATGGTAGTTACTATTTAGGGTTGAGGGTTCAGGTTTAAGTGTAGCCGTGGAATGGCAGATGCGCTAGTCGGAGAGCGTTCTCGTGCTGTCACTGTTGGGCGCGCAAAATTCGCCACAGCCGACGACGAGCAGCTTGCCAGAAGGGAGGGCTGCACAAAGCTCCACGGTTTAGGGTTATAGTCCCCCTTAAATAGATAGAATATGGCTTTGGTTATGTTATACTAAGATCGCCATATACCCTATATTGTATCTACTTATGGGGGACTATGAACCCTAAACCCTAATTAGTAGTTTCCATTTTCTTTCCCATTATCCCAATACAACCCCTATAGTTTAGGAATTCCGGTCTTTATATAGGGTTTAGAATATAAGGACCTTTTATCGCATTCCATGCTCGAGCTATGAGCTAGTATAAAGACTGCAGTCCCTTTTGAGACCCGTTTATGAAATGTTAGGTTTAGGGTTTAGGGTTTAGTGATGTTCGAGGTACAGTACAAAATTGGAAACTGCATGAGGAAGATTTGATGAGGGTATACTGTATAGTCGATCAAAAATCTGTCCCGAAATGACCTTAGAGATTCCCCTAGATGTTCCTGAACAGACTGCCAAGGACCTGGCCTTAGGCCTCACATTGTTTAAGGTTTTTGGGCTTTCGACTTAGGGCTTAGGGTTTAGGGCTTGGGGTGAAGATAATTAAGTGATCATTCAAAGGCGAGCTTCTGTAAAAGTTGGGGTCCACTTTTTGGCGATCCTTACACGTGCTGTACAGTATCACACACAATAGCATCACTGATGATTACTGTCATGGGTTTCCGGGTCAGAATTTCCTTTCCTTCAAGGAGCCATCCAACTATTGATGATTGCCATGTTTTGCGTGCTTAACACTTAAGCTGCAAATACAGGTAGTCATCGTGAAGCCCGATTTAGGCCACACAGCTCCTCCCGTTTATCTTGGTATCACACGTTTCGGAATTTGGTGCCTGCGTGCGCCAAGGGGGTCTGGATGGATCCCTGTGCAATCATATAGAAGGGTCTGGATGGTTTAGGGTTGAGGGTCTGGATGGACAACATACGTAAAGGGCGAAACGGACACTTTGGTATCTTCATGCCGCTTGCCTTTTCTTTCCTCCTCCAAGGGGTGTCCGAATGGAACCGGCCCAGGGGGTCGCATCCCTCTAGCTGAGAGGATGGTATCTATTTGTATATGAGTAGTGTTTTTTTGGT